AACTAACCAATCTGTAATATTTTGGATGATCCCATCCCCTGACTTACGAAACACATTTGGACGATCCCATCCATGTTGCTATGTATCGGCCTATTTTCCCTTTCCATTTGCATCCCAAATCACTTTTATTTTTCATTCTAGTACATCCCATATGATGTTAAAATTAGTTTCCCGTTACATATTTGACGAATTAAGTAATGTCCATAGTTGTCCAGTATCAAGTTTTACGGCCATTAGTAATATTTAGATATGATCTCTAGTTAGTTATCAAGTTTTATGCCATCTTTTGTAATATAAAGAAATTTTAGAGTCCATGAATTTTACCTATCAATCAAGTGCATACTGTTCAATTTATTATTGCATCCTTGAAAAAAGGGACATTGCATATTCTTTGACCGAAATTGCACAATATAAAAAATTCTTCCAATGTCTTGAATAATACTAAAAAAAAGACTTTCTTTTATTCAATAACATTATCAAATAAAAGAATTTCAAGGATTTTCATTCGCTTTCAAATTGATTCTTTAGTCGGTCACCCACTTGATACATCGAGTATGGATTGGAATATTGGACCAATACTAATATCGAGGCTTATGAAAGTTTGGTGATGGAAAAGATATCAAAAAGATTTGTAAGTGGGTGGAGATACAGATTGGGGAATATTTTTCTATAAGAATGTTGTGGCTCCATATAATCACACCCTAAGGCGTAATGACATTTGGTCAGAGAGAGACACTCTATGTTTATATCAATAGTCAAAACCAACGCTCTTTGCCGATAAATAGAGATACCATGAGAGACATCAAAATCAATATGAGGGCTCACCGTGAAAACATTAATTTGGAGCATCGAAATATGAAAGAAATTATGAAAAAATGGAATGTATAAAGAGGCCACAAAGCTATCAACAGTATTTTAAGAAGAAAAAACCAATAAAAGAATAAAGAACGAAGTTAAACATATCAATGCATAGGTAATATACTTAAGTAGCATTGTAGATTTTTAAGAATAAATGAAAATGAGAAATAAGTAATGTGAAAAATTGTATAGTTAAGATTGTATAATCTAAATTTAGGTAGTCATTAAAATTAAATAAATGCACATGATTGGTTAAAACTTTCTTTCGAAGGAAATAGAGGAGTACCCCTAGTCAATGCGACACAATCGACTTTCTTATGGTACGAAATGTTTAAGATATTTGCGATATTGATGGCAATCTCGTAGATGAACCAAATTTCATTAATGGAACCATCAACAAGAAAGATCTTAAAAATATGTTTAAAAGTGAAACTCTAAAAGAGTGCGGAATTTTCACAAATAAACTAGGCCATTTGAAAAGAATCCATATGCCTTATGAACTCAAGCAAAAGATCATAACACAAAATCCAAATAACCATTCGGATTGAACAACCTAATCTTAAAAAGATGAAACCCCTCAATATAATCGAACAATCACCCATATAATTGACGACACATGTAAAGAGCAAATCATTCACTCAACTACAAACAAATTATCGAATATATGTCTATATTGGACCGTATACATTCATAACTAGAGGTAATAAGCAAAACAAAATACAATATTCATCATTTTATTTCCATGCGAACTCATCTATAAGAATATAAACCAACAAGGTATCCTACAACCCTAGGGCACAAAAAATTTGAACAAACCAAGCAATCTAACATGCTCAACCTATCGGCCTTCATATCAAAAGATGATAAGAAAAGTTAGTTTTAAACAATTAAATCATGCAATACATAAACATGATAAAACGGTTTACTCAAAGAACCAAGTTGTTGTTGTGCGTTTTGGATGTATATTAGAAGTACACCCATGCAAACAAATAATAAAAACCTTGTTTGCACGCATTCAACACCAAAGAGAAAGTCTGTCGTTGTGTCGTGCAAGTAAGGGTCGATCCCACGAGAAGGATATTTCCTAAATTAGTGCTAAATCGCAGAGGGATGAGAGAAAGACATGATTTTACATACAAGAAAGAACACAACTAAAGTAACAAGGAAAGAAAATAAAAAAAGGAAAGTAGGGCTTGGACAATAGGAAGGGCAACAAGGTTACTAATGTGTTCCTCAAATGTGACGAAGGTCATGTTCATTCAACCTAACTATGCCAATAAGATTTTGGAAACTATGGAGCCATTACCTTTTACATCCCTAACTTCTGTTCCTAGTTGTTAGAACTCAATACTAGAATCTTCTTTCGATCTCATCTAGTTATTAGATTAAGCGTGGTGGTTTAGGCCAATTGATTCTCTCTTTACACTTCCGTGTCATAGACTTACTACAATCTCAAGACTAATTGGTCTTACTTTCCATGTAATCAAAGACTACACAAAAATCTATAGCACACAAGCATGCATTTCACATTTCATCAATGGACTCAAGCAATAATACACACAAAATCGCCAATTAGAGGTGTTTCATTGAGGGATGATGTTGTTTTTCTCTCTAGTTTCTATGTCTAGTCCCTAGAATAGTATGACTAACCCCCGATGTCTAGGTGACCTTAGCCAATTAGATTAAACCAATTAACATCTTCTATCCACCCATTCATTCTATTTATGCCTAAAGTAGAATTACAAGAGTTTTAATAATTAATGTCACACCTTCATGAAGATAAAGAGTCATCCATAAAGGTCCAAAAACATTCAATTCAAAGGTACCTTTCAAATTGTATGCTATAACACAAAAGAGCTAATTATTGAGCTCAAATCACACATCTCATGGCTTACATGGCATAAGTTAGGAGAAAGAACAATGAACATAACATCTACTTAGAAACTATGCATTTTAAGCAACCATAATCAAGGATAAACACAACTCATAATGAATAAATAACAAGTGAAGATAAAGAGGATGCGAAAAGCTCCCCTTTCCAAGAAGAAACTAAATCATACTCTAATTTTCTCCACAAATCCAACAACTCCATAGGGTAGCAAAAGAGTTGATGTCTTCTCCTTAATCATGGATCTTGAACAAAAGCCCTAAACTAATTTTCAAGCCCCTTGATTAATTACATCTTAGAAAGTCTAATTTAAAATAATAAGATATGAACCCTAACTAAGAACTATGAAGTAAAGGAGAAAATATGCTACGAGTTGTCTAAAAATGAACTAAGAAAGGAGATTCCTCCTAAAACTTGGTACAAAATGAGTATTTATTGGCAAATGGGACGGATGGACTGAAGTGAATAAGTAGAAAAATAGCTAGGCTGAATTGAAAGTCCTTCAAAGTTAGCAGTCGGACTATTGGTACTCATTTGCACGACATTGGAACTTCTTGGCAGATTTGCAGTAACGTTGATGCTTTTGAAACTTCAGACTTTCGCTGCAAATTATCGGGGAAGGAGGGATTAAGTTTGTAATTTTCGAAGTTTTCTTTCTTCTTCCCCATTTTGAAGTCACCGGTGGCACCGGAATCCTCTCACCGTTTGCTGATCGGAGCTATCGGATTTGTGAGCCTTTATCCGGGAATTCAACAATAAAGCTCATCTCTTGATCTCGCCTATGACCATAGTAGGTTCATTCAACCTGTGGTTTGAGTCTTCAATTCAAACAAAAAATGAAACAATTCTGCCTTTCAAGAGTTTGATGAAATGCTCCCGTTTTCAGTTTCCGTGAACGAATTCTTCTCCTTTTTTCTGCTGCATAGAGTCTGAATTTTGAACTTATTTCTTCACAAAAGTTATAGATATTTCTTTTAGCTTCACAATGGTATCTTGAACACTGAAATTGGAGTTGTGGATCGAGAGTTATGACCTCCTACAGGGGGATGAGTTCTCCTGAAAATCTGCAAATTTTCTGAACATATCTGACGACTGAAATTCATTTGCATTTTTCACCATTTTGTCATCTGAATTAGGAGAATTAATCTTCATAGAAGCTGTAGCACTCTCTTACTGCTTCGTAACGGTATAAAGAACATCCAATTTCGAACTCTGAAGATCAAGTTACGCTCTCTGCAATTTGATTAATTGTTGCTGAAGTTTTGAAGATTTCAGGGTTCAGTTCTGACATCTGAGACTTCAACTGCAGTTTTGATCATTAAAAAGCCTGAATTTGAAGAAGTGATCTGCTCAAAAGTTGTGGTTCCCACTCTGAGCTTCGTAGGCGTATTTGGTTGGTTCCAAATGGAGGTTTCTAGCTCAAGTTATGAGCCCTTCAAGGTGGACCATTCGCCATTGATCAACGCTTTTGCACTTTTGGTCATTTGATTGATATTTTTGCTTCGTTTCAACGCCATTTGCTCGTCCTACCAAAGATAAACAACAAAGTATAAGAAATGTGCACTTTTGACGCTCAACACCATTCAAATGAGTCTATATACAAGGAAATGAGTTGTGAAATCTTATATAAATACATGTATCTTTGACTCACATCACAAGTCACACGTTAGGCTCTAAGAAAGAAAGAAAGAACTAACCATTCTTCTCCTTCAAAACAATAAGAAACGCTCATTGTTTATGAAAAACCACAAAGGGCTCAAATCAATTTATTTGACTCAATAATTCATAATTTTTGACACATATCTATATATTTTTTAAGGCAATTCGGCCTCCTTTTATAGGCAAACTTCTCTTGCTCTCTAAGACACAAACACTACTATTTAGGCTTTACTTTAGGCAAGAAAACTCTACATTCCTTGTACTACTCGATCCAATTCACAGAAAGGAAAGACGTAGTCAATTTTGACTCAAACTCTAACCAAACTTAACCATCAAGCAAAGTAATTAACTTTACTTCTTTTAATGGTAAAAGACTAATCTACCCTTAATGAAATTAAGGACCACTCAGCCGCCCCCCTTAGGAAGTTACCTTAAGGGTAAACTTTTTATTTAACTCTAGGTAAATAGACTTATTATATATTTACGGACTCAACAATAATTTTAATAACTTAAATTAAGTACTTCCCGCATGTTTCCCTCCTTTTGATTGGCGCGCGCGGCTCCAATTTAAAACTCCAAACTTCAATGATGTCTTCTACACACTTGAATGTGCATCTTCAATCTCTTCAAAACGCTTGATCTTTGGAACAAACTCACATGCATCAACCTCTTGGATATCACTTGAATCTTCATCACTTGAATCACTCCAATGATTAGCAAAGTCTTCATTAGATTCTTCCAACCCTTGATCTTCACTAAGCAATTCTTCTTCAACCTCAATGTTCCCACTAGAAGGTGTTGGTGATAACTCTTTCAAAAAAGGCCAAGGTCTCACGCAAACTTTCTTCTATTCTTAAACGGAAACAATCTAGGACCACCAACTGACAAGAACGCCTTTTGCTCCTTCATTTCATGTTGACTTCGATGTGAAGCCATGTGAAACAAAGATAAATCATGGTTAGCGTTGAGTGTTCCTCCTACACCACCACTCGATTCACCCTCCTCGAATGTACCTTCTTTTTTATTTTGTTGTACATCCTTCACTTTGCACAATGCTCTAGCAAGCTCATGTCTCTAAAACATGATATGCTCACTCTCCTATGGTGATAATGATCTCAACTCCAATCTATTCTCATGATCTCGATATGAGAACACATTCAATGAACCAACAAAGACCATTCCCAACTTCTTAATGAAAGGTAGACCCAAGACAACGTCACACACCATCATAGGTACTATATCAAGTGACTCACTCGAAACAAGATCCCCAATGCGAAGATCCACCTTAGCACTATGAGTAACGCTCAATTCCATTCCACCATGCAACCAACGCACTTTGTAAGGTTTACTTAAGTATTTCACCTGCAAGTGATTAACTCTAACAAACTCTTCACTTATACAATTGATGCTACTACCCCCATCAATAGCTACAATCAAATTATCAACCCAATCTATCACACCTATAGTACGAAAGGCATGATCTAGTTTGACTCCACATTGTGCTGAGTGTATTTCAAAGCAACACCTTATTCTCTCCAATTATCAGTACACTTCTTCCAAATAGCTCTATTCTTACGCAACTCCAACAACACAACTCTTTGAAAAGCACAATATAAATCATTCTCTTTCATCAAAGATACATCATCTTTATAACAAGAATTCAAGCCATTCAAGAATCTCACAACTAACACTTCATTCAAGTCATTACTATCACTATTCAAGCACAACTCCTCAAATTTAGCAATATAAGACTCAACATCCATGTCATCTTGAACAAGTTCACACAAATCAGTTTGGATTTCATAAGCAATGTCACTATTCCAAAACCTATTGTATATTGTCTCTTTAAAATCATACCAAGTATGCTCACTTCCATTTGGATTATGCAAGTATAGCACACTCCAATTCTTAGCTATATGTCACAAGCCTTGGATATCTTAACACTATCCCTAGTCACATTTAGCAATTCAAACAAATTCTCAATAGATTCAACCAAAGATTCTACCCCTTCACAAATCCCACCATAAAAATTTGCAATTTCAAGCTTTAACTTACCAACACACGCAGAATCCTTCGTTGCATCCATACGATAATTTGCATCAATAAAACGCTGGATCAAATCTTGTTGCATAGACTCGATCTCCTTGAAGATGCTCCTACTGAAACCTTCATGCTCCTCTTTAAGGTTTTGAAGCTCTTGTTCCACACAAAGCACCTTTTCACTAAAGTTCACCTATTGCTTGTTGACAATCTCATCATGAAGTCCAATGTCACTCACTTCAAAACTCTTCAACAATGCTCCTAGTTCTTGCACTCGTACCTCAATGACACGGCATGGACAACACACCTTCGTCTTAGCAATCTCTTCACTCATGATGATAAGCAAATAATCACCTTCAACTAAAAAAACTCCCTTGGATTTTTTATGATAAATCCGAGAAACCCTTCCCCTCGAATCAAAGGAAGATTCGAAGACACTCCCCAAACTAACTAATAAAAACTCTCTTTCACCTTTTAATAGGTGATACTCTCCAAAAGAAGAAGAGAAGAGATGGTTTAGTTACTCCTTCAACCTTAAGACCTCATGCAAGTTTTAGCTCAAAGATCAAAAAGAAATTTTGGAGGTTTGCCTGTATGAAACATTTGACCATCACACCCCTTTATATAGGCATGAGATGGCTTTTCCTACAAGGACTTTCCAATTAAAAATAGGTTTAGTTTTTAGGCAATTCTCCTATTTTAATAATTCAAAATTTCCCCTTTAATAAAACCCTAAATAATTTCCAAATTTTCATTCGAAAATTAACACATACACATGGCCAAAACTTTTCAAAAATAGAAAAATTTAATTTTAAAATATTACTTAATAAGTAAGAAAATAGTTCTTAAGAAACATACCTTTTAAAATATTATTCGGTCGAAGAGACTCAAAAAAATAAACAAGTAATATACCTTAATAATTTTTAGGAAACTCCTTTAATTCCCCTCCTATTATATAGGTAATTAACAAATAAAACCAAATTCCTTTTGGTATTTCCTAAAAAGAAATCACGGCACACACACATGTTCACACAAGCAAAAATTTATTTTTCCACTTAAAATAAGAATTAAAAACACACAATTAAAATAATTCTTGAAATTATTCAATTAAAATCAAGGCCAAAACCTTTTAGTTAAATACTAAAAACCCTCTTTCAATCATGTAACCAAAATTCAAAAATACTAATCATCTATTCAAGCAAATTCATTTCATCTACCAAGTTCAAGAAACTCAACAAACGAAAACCACATACGCACATTGGATTAAAAACCCTAAAGACCTAATTTTCGAAAATATTTTGTTTAAAACACTTAAAACAATATAAATTAGATACTTTTAACAAAGCAATCTCCAAAGAACGTCATGGAAACTCTTATACGTGTAAACCTAGAGTATACACTCTAAAACTCATATCTCATTCATACGACTCAACAAGAAATAAATCACATAGTCACTTAAAAGATAAACTCTTGAAAAATCAATTTCCAAACCAATGAAAAATCTAATCTCCACAAGAAAGGTCACGCTATTCATCAAAAAGACTTCAAACAATTAATCACTAACCCAAAAGTTCAAAGAACACATTGATCTCTTTAAGTTACCTTGCACACATGTTGAATTCAAAACTTTTAGAAAGCTTTAAAAATCAAACCACAAAGTCGACGAACAACCCGACAAGGAAGTCGATGGAAACACACAAAGTGGACGCGCAACTCGACAAGAAAGTCAACGAAGACACTTCACATAGCACATTAGGTCAAAACTACACTAATTCGATACAAGACTAAATCTAATAAAACCTAATAGCGATTATGGACGTCTCATTGATCAAAACACCACAAACCCTAGATTTTACTCTTCTCCAATTCATAATGAACTAAAGTTAAGAAGGAAAGATCATCACTTCCATACACTAAATAGTATACTTTCATGAGTACTCTACCTTTAAAATTCATAGATCATAAATTCAAAGAACCTAGACCAACACACGCACACACTTGCTCATGTATACATAATCTCTCTTAAAAAGGTAAGGCTATGCACTTTTGCTTTTGGCATCACACCCTAAATCAATTAATCATGTTACACATAAGTTCCAAATCACTTGATCATGAAGAAACCAATCTCTAATCTCAACCTCGAGTGAAGCCCTCCTTGAATCAATTGTTTGCACAACTTCAACAAGACTCACTAATTTCTCAAAACCAAAAACAATCAAAAAAATTCATCTTAAACCAATACCTAGTTTTCGCTCAAAATATTCAATAAAGAAGAACTCATGAAATTGTAATTTAAATCTAGTTTGATTTACTTTTCCCAAAACATTTTTGAAAACTAAAGAACCTTAGTCCAAATAAAAGATATAGACATCAATTTATAGAACATTGCTAGGCTCTCGAACCATATTCTCAAGAGAGAATCGGATATCTTCTCAATCTTTGCTTTGAAACAAAATATGATATCATGGATATCAATTCCGCTACCACTGCATTAAACTAGCTCTGATACCAAAAAATATGATGGCAATCTCGTAGACAAACCAAATTTCATTAATGGAACCATCAACAAGAAAGATCTTAAAAATATGTTTAAAAGTAAAACTCTAAAAGAGTGCGGAATTTTCACAAAAAAACTAGACCGTTTGAAAAGAATCCCTATACCTTATGAACTCAAGCAAAAGATCATAACACAAAATCCAAATAACCATTCAGATTGAACAACTTAATCTTAAAAAGATGAAACCCCTCAATATAATCGAACAATCACCCATATAATTGACGACACATGTAAAGAGCAAATCACTTACTCAACTACAAACAAACTATCAAATATATCTCTATATTGGACTGTATACATTCATAACCAAGGTAATAAGAAAAACAAAACACATTATTCATCATGCTATTTCCATGCAAACTCATCTATAAATAGATTAACCAACAAGGTATCCTACAACCCTAGGACACAAAGAATTAGAACAAACCAAGCAATCTAACATGTTGAACCTATTGGCCTTCATATCAAAAGATGATAAAAAAAAATTAGTTTTAAAATTATTAAATCATGCAATACATAAACATGATAAAACGATTTACTCAAAGAACCAAGTGACATGTTAGGCTCTAAGAAAGAAAGAAAGAATCAACCATTCTTCTCCTTCAAAACAATAAGAAATGCTAATTGTTTAAGAAAAACTACAAAGGGCTCAAATCAATTTATTTGACTCAATAATTCAAAATTTTTGGCACATATCTATATATTTTTAAAGGCAATTTGGCCTCCTTTTATAGGCAAGCTTCTCTTGCTCTCCAAGACACAAACCCTACTATTTAGGCTTTACTTTAGGCAAAGAAACTCTACATTCCTTGTACTACTCGATTCAATTCACAGAAAGGAAAGAGGTAGTCAATTTTGAGTCAAACTCTAACTTAACTTAACCATCAAGCAAAGTAATTAACTTTACTTCTTTTAATGGTAAAAGACTAATCTACCCTTAATGAAATTAAGGACCACTCGGCCGCCCCCCCTAGAAAGTTACCTTAAGGGTAAACCTTTTATTTAACTCTAGGTAAATAGACTTATTATATATTTACGGACTCAACAATAATTTAAATAACTTAAATTAAATACTTCCCGCGCGTTTCCCTCTATTTGATTGGCGTGCGCGACTCCAATTCAAAACTCCAAGCTCCAATGATGTCTTCTACACACTTGAATGTGCATCTTCAATCTCTTCAAGACACTTGCTCTTTGGAACAAACTCACTTGTATCAATCTCTTGGACATCACTTGAATCACTCCAATGATTAGCAAAGTCTTCATTAGATTCTTCTAACCCTTGATCTTTGCTAAGCGATTCTTCTTCAACCTCAATGTTCCCACTAGAAGGTGTTGGTGATAACTCTTCCAAAGAAGGCAAAGTTCTCACAGCAAACTTTCTTCTATTCTTAAACGAAAACAATCTAGGACCACCAACTAATAAGAACATCTTGTGCTCCTTCATTTGATGTTGACTTCGATGTGAAGCCATATGATTCTCATCAGATATTGTCCTCTGGTTTCTTAAGTGGAGAATATTTAATGGCGAGGCCATCCCGGAGCTCTATCAATTCTAAAGTTTACTATTTTCTCTTGTTTTCTTTTTCTAGTTTCTTCGTTGTCTTCTTCTTCTTCTTCTTCCTTTTTCTTTTTTTTTTTTCTGGAACTATCTTCAAAATTTTTGGAAGTTTACATTGGGTTAGTCTTCAACATGTATTATCCTTAGCTGAATGGTGTAGAATTGAAAATAATTTTGTAATGAAGAGAGAAGTAATGGTTACGGTTTTTGGAACGTTTTTGGTGGAGGAGAATCTGCTCAAATATGGCTATTGTATTTTAGAAAAAAAAAAGTAAGAGTTGACTGCTAAGTGGTCTTTCGTAGTTAAGGTGCCGGGTGAGAGGAAATAAAATAGGAGGGTATTTTTTTTTAAAAAAAAGTTAATTGTTTTTTGTAGTTTTAATATTGTCAGCAAATAAAAGTTTTTTGTTCCATCTACTTTCAACAATTATTGTTAGTCAACTGATGTGTATCAGTGGTCAAGCGATGGCATCGTCCAATTTTTATAAAAATGGGAGGTAATTAACAAATTTGCAAAATTTTAGATGGATTCACATTCAGGAATTAAACTTTGGTGTCTATCGGCCTACTTTCCCTTTTCATTTGCATCCTAAATCACTATTGTCTTTCTTTCTAGTTCGTCCCATATGTTATGCTATATATTTGCGATATTGTCCTCCTGTTTCTCAAATGGAGAATATTTAAGGGCGAAACCATCCCGTAACTCTATCAATTCTTTAATTTATTCTTTTCTCTAGTTTGATTCTTCTTGTTTCTTCTTCTTCTTCTTCTTCTTCTTCTTCTTCTTCCTCTTCTTCTTCTTCTTCTTCTTCTTTTGGAATTATCTTCAAATTTTTTTGAAGTTTACATTGGACTAGTCTTGAACATTTATTCTCCTTAGCTGAATTGTTTAGAATTTAAAATATTTTGGTAATGAAGAGAGAAGTGGGTGTTTGTAACTTTTTTGGTAGAGGAAAATCCACTTGAATATGGTTATTATATTTTAGCATAAAAATTTAAGTAGTGGATGTAAGTGGTCGTGGATGGTTTTGGTTCCATGTGCAAGAATAACAGGATGGTATTTAAGAAAAAATAAAATTATTTTAATATTATCAGCAAATGAAACATTCTTTTCCCATCTACTTTCAATGATTTTTGTTAGTTAAATGATGTGTTTTCCGATCAAGGGATGGCATCGTCCAATTTTTATAAACATGGGATGTAAAAACCAATTTGC